GGAGAGGGCTGGAAGAGTCATTTCCCCCCTTCTGGACAGTTGGCATCCTGGCCAGCTTCATACCTTCAACAGCAATTTGTTGTGCATAATAAAATCATGAAAGGTTTTCCTGGCAGAGGAGTTCAAGGCATTGCTGCAGATTGAGATCTTTTCTCAGTGGAGCTGAATAGGGGGGGGGGGTGTAAGCCTGGCAGCCTGGAACTTCAACTCGCCCTCTGCCTGCAGTTCTGACTTCCTCCTGGCTTCTCCTCTGACCTGTCCTAAACTCACCATCCACCTGATGCAGCTGAATAGGACAATGAGAGGTTGGCAGCCTGGAACTTCAACTCGCCCTCTGCCTGCAGCTCTGACTTTGCCACCCGGAGAAAGGGCTGTGCAGGAGAAAGACACCTGGGCCCTTCTCAGTCTGGGTTCAGGCCGGGACACATCACCAAACCGGCATTGGTTGCAACTCTCATGGATTTTTGGAGGCCTCGGGATAGACGGGGTGCAACCATTATGTCCCTCCTAGACCTCTCATCAGGTTTCAGTACTGTATCATCGACCATGATATTCTTCTGAACAGACTTTGGAGACTTCTGTCTCCATGGCTGGTGTAGGATCCGTTATCTAGTTGAAATAAACAATCAGAAGCCAAAAGTTCCAAGAGAAAATGATGGTAATTTATTTGTACTCCTTTGCAAGGGGGGGGTGTTGCTTTTTGTGCATGCAAGCACACAGTGGACACACCCCAAATCTGCAATATTTGTTCTTTATATTCCCCCATTGCCATTACAAATTTACCTCCCACCTCCTCTTCGTTGGCTTAGTAATCATGCTGTAATCATGTCATCACAACCTAAGCAGAGCTTCTAAAGTGAATATATTATCTCCGCCCCCAATTACTTCTCCCATTCCCCTAATTCTATCGCCCTTGGCCCTTATTTACAAATTACCTTTTATGGCTCTTAGTTCCTAGGGGTTTTCTCTAAAGTTGCTATCATATCAGTAAATTCTGGTTAGGACTGGTTTTCAGCGTAGCAGAGACCTTCCTCGATACAATTCTCAAACTTCAGGCTAGGCTCATGAGATTAAAATATATACAATTTATTTGCTTCAGAGGCTAGTATGTCTTCTCATAGTTCTGTAAAAACAATAAGCTCTTTTCCCCACACTGGTTCCACTCGGTGTGGAGTGAGTCGGGCCTCTCGCAATTCGGGAGGCCCCGGGAGAAAAAGCCTTACACTGCTGCTCTCTTTCTTTTTTTCTTAATTTTTTTTATAAATTTTATTTTATTCAAATACAAATAATACAAACATAACACATATAAATCTAAATAAAAAAACAGTATAAAAAGGTACAAATACTACAGTGCACCCACCCCCCCGGAGACTATTTTTATTACCTATATTTATTCTCATATAACAGTGATGGCGAACCTTTTAGAGACCGAGTGCCCAAACTGCAACCCAAAACCCACTTATGCATCGTCAGGTGCCGGGTGGGTGTGGCCAATTGGGTGGGTGTGGCCAATTGGGTGGGCGTGGCTGCGGTGGTAACGGCAGACTGGGTGGGACTAAAAAGTTCAATCAATCAATTCCAACTTTGCAAGATCTTTTTTTTCCTGTGAGAAGTTAAAATTGACTGATTGATTGAACCTTTTTTTTTTTTTGCACACCGTGGCGGAGGCCTAAAGCGAAAAGGTTTTATAAAACCCAGCTGAAGGCCTAGGAGTGGGGCGCACGTGCCCACAGAGAGGGCTCTGAGTGCCGCCTCTGGCACCCGTGCCATAGGTTCGCCACCACTGTCATATAACAACTAACAATATACAATATATTTCAATTGTGCCCTTCTCCCCTCCAAAACAGCATCTATTCTTGAGCAGGTTTATTCCCTTTGCCTTCCACCAAGACTGTTTTTATAAAATCATCCCATTTTTCATTATAATTATTTACTTTAATCATCCCTTTTTAAATTTAATTTCTGTTGTTAATTTATCATTTATTGCCATATTCCATATTTCATTACACCACTCATTTCTTTGAATAACCCAATTCCGTCTCCAATATTTAACCATCACTAATCTAGCTGCCATTATCAAATTTACCATCAATTCTTTTTGCTTCATTTATATCTTGTTTTTCCACCAGTAACAGTAACACAATCCTCAGTGACATATCTAAATTTACCTTCAAAAGTTCTGTAATTTCCCTAACCACCATGTCCCATATCTTTTGTGCGCTATCCCACCACATACGTTTATATGTTCCAATCTCTTTCTCGCACCTCCAGCAAATATTTGTATATTTAACATCTATTTGATTTAATTTACGTGGTGTTAGGTACCACCTCCATATCACTCTATATCCATTTTCCTTAACTCTAACTGACATATTCTTATATACTCTTCTATTCCAAATATTTTTCCAATCTTTATCATTTATTTCTCCTCAATCTGTTTCCCAGATTAATTTTAAACCTTTTGCCTGATCTTCTTGTTCAGTTAATATTCTGTATATTTTCCCAATTCTTCCTTTACCTATATATTCTTCATTTTCCTCACTTTCATTTATAATCATTTCAAATTTTGTTAACTGTCTATCTTTCACTTCACATTTTTCTTCCATTTTTATCCATTTCTCTAACTGTATTAAATTCAACCAATTTAATTTAGTATCTGATAAAACATTCTTTAATTGTAGTATATTCTTTATCTTGTTCTTCCAATCTTCCCATTTATATATATATCTGATTTTTTAAAAATTTACTAATCCAATCTTTCTGTAAGGACCCACCCCACTTTACATCTTAAGAAGACAGAACTCTTGGAATATCTCTTCCAACAGGCATCTTTATTAAGAGAAAATGATTGCAGGCGTTCTAGACAGGATCTGAGGGATCAATCCCTACCATTCAATGTTTTAACTGTTCCCAAGCAGCCCCCACCCCACAGTCCTTCCGGGTGACGATCACTCATCCTCTCTTTTCCCAGATCCCAAGCGTTACATTGTTCCACCCCTTTTCCCTCACTGCCGGCAAAAGGGAGACTTCAGAGAGAGAGAGTAGATGAAAGGCGATGGCCATATTGTTATGGTCAGTCCTCTTGATGAAAATCAACATCCAGTCCTTTGTAGTTTAAAAATGAAGTGAGAGTCATAAAACCCCCTTGCTTCCTCCTCCCCTTTCGTAGTATGACAGAATCCACAGAGAGTAAGAAATGGTGTTTTTTTTCAGAGTACGTAGCTAGAAATGAAATATAATTGGATTCTGACACTTTCAATTCAATCTTAGGGAATTTCTCCATTTCTACTACTGGTGTTAAAGGAGAAATTCCTGGCATTAACCGATATCTCCATTTATTCCATAATTCTATCAAGTTTTTTTAAAAAGGGATTTTGAATTCTTAACAATTTTTAATATCTTTTTAAAACCAATATGTTTCTATAGAATCGCCTATTTCCCTTAATTCATTCAGTTCTATATCACTCCATAATAAATCTCTATCTGCTATAATATCTGGGACCACCCTTAATTGATTAGCTACCCAGTAATTTCTAAACATTTGGAAGACCCAGCCCACCCTTTTTTAATGGTTCATACCATAAAGCTTTGCTTATTCTTGCTCTCTTGCCTCCATTGCAATACACCTCCAGCAATCTCTGTATTTCCTTTAATTTTTGATCCAAAAACTTAATTGGGATCATCCAAAACAAAAAAATAATTTTTGGTAAAACACGGCTGCTTTCTAACATCTACCTCAGACATGTCAAACACAAGGCCCGAGGGCTGGATGCGGCCCGCGAAGTGGTTTTATGTGGCCCGCGAAGCCATCCTGGAAACAGTGAGGGAACGGCNTGTAGCTTCATGAAATGACAGAATTAACTTGTTAACTTTATGGAAGATGGGAATTTTTTTTTCTTTTCTTTTTTTGTATAAGTAAGGGATGGTGTTAAACTATATTGCTGAAATGGTAAAGATTTTGGGTATTTGAAGAACTAATTAAATGAATAATTTTTATTAACACGGAGGAGATGGATTGTTTAAGTTTAGAGTTAGAGATATTAATATTTGTTTACTTGTATTTGAATATTTGAATAGGTTTGGTTTGGGAAGTCCGGGGGGTGGGGGGATGGGATATAACATTGTGTAATATCTGTGATGTATTTCTTTTTTTTTTATGATAAAAACAATAAAATTTTATATTGAAAAAAAAACAATTTGATACGTTGATAAGTGAAATAAGAATAGAATTATATTTCAGTATCACTCCTAAAATCTACCCCAATCAGTCCCACATATGCTGATCTCAGCCAAACCATTTTACTCAAGTACTGTGCCATATTAAACGTTGTTTTCACATTCTGCCCGCACATATGTTGTATTAGGCCAGAAGCCTGGTTAACTTTTTGGACAAAAGCAAGAATCAGCTTTTCGAAATTCCCAGACCATCAAAATACCATCAACCTTGTTAGAAATACCTTGTAGTTGCAGATCAAGTACCTGTTAAATGAGGAGGCTTTGCATTTTGCCTTTCAATATGTGGTATTTATTGGTTTTTGTATTAAGGTTTTATTGCTGTAAATCATGTGGAGTCACCATGAGTTGGGCTGCCATATACATTTTCTTACTAAATAAAGATACAAACCCCACATTTATTATATGTAGACATAACTCAAGATGGCAAACATACCTAATACAGATCTAAGCTCGCTTTCTCTGGCCCAGCACAGCAGTTCCCCTCGACACCATGAAAGGGAACGACCACAGTGGGCGAAAGGAAGTCCAGATCTCCTCCCTCACGTTTAATAGTAAGACATGCTTGACTAAAAAAAATCATGCAAGAAATTAAATTATTTCTCAGCAGAGCTTCCAATAAGAGACAAGAAACGAAATTCAATATTCCTCTGCACAGATCATGTGTTAATTCCTCATGTGGAATTTGTGATAAGGGAGGAATTTTGTGTCAAAAACTGTCCACAATCTGGGTATTTGAATGGTTACTCCCCTATGTGTAACCTTACATGATTTATAAGGCTAGATCTAGTACTGAAATCTTTCCCACAATCCGGACACTCATACGGTTTTTCCCCTGTGTGAGTTCTCATGTGTTTTACCAGGCTAGAATTGTGACTGAAACTTTTTCCACAATCCGAACACTCATACGGTTTTTCCCCTGTGTGAGTTCTCACGTGTATCACCAGATTGGAATTGTGACTGAAACTTTTTCCACAATCTGGACACTCATATGGTTTTTCGCCTGTGTGTGTTCTCTTGTGTATCACCAAGTCAGAATTTCGATGGAAGTCTTTCCCACAATCAGGACACTTATATGGCTTCTCTCCTGTGTGAATCCTCTGGTGTACCACAAGTTCCGAATTCCAATTGAAACTTTTCCCACAATCTGGACACTCATGCAGTTTCTCTCCCGTGTGATTCCTCTGGTGTATCACCAGGTTGGAATTGTGACTGAAACTTTTCCCACAATCCGGACATTCATATGGTTTTTCTCCCGTGTGAGTCTTCTTGTGTATCACCAGGGTGGAATTGTGACTGAAACTTTTCCCACAATCCGGACACTCATATGGTTTTTCTCTTGTGTGTGTCCTCTTGTGTATCACCAAGTCGGGATTTCGATGGAAACCTTTCCCGCAATCAGAACACTTATATGGTTTCTCTCCCGTGTGATTCCTCTGGTGTATCACCAGGTTGTAATTCTGACTGAAACTTTTCCCACAATCTGGACATTCATATGGTTTTTCTCCCGTGTGAGTCCTCTTGTGTATCACCAGGGTGGAATTGTGACTGAAAGTTTTCCCACAATCAGAACACTTATATGGTTTCTCTCCTCTGTGAATCCTCTGGTGTACCACAAGTTCCGAATTCCAATTGAAACTTTTCCCACAATCTGGACACTCATGCGGTTTCTCTCCCATGTGAATCCTCTGGTGTCTCACCAGCTTGGAATTCTGACTGAAACTTTTCCTACAATCCAGACATTCATATGGGTTCTCTCCCATGTGAGCCCTCTCGTGTCTCACCAGCTTGGAATTCTGACAATCTGAAAACTCATATGGTTTCTCTTCCATGTGCGTTGTCTGGTGTTTCACCAGGTGGGATTTGTGACTGAATTTCTTCTCACAATCCAGACACTCATATGTTTTTACTCCTGTTTGACGCCTCTGGCGTATCAGCAGCTTGGAATTCTGACTGAAACTTTTCACACAATACAGTCATATGTTTTTTCTCCAATGTGAATCCTCTGGTGTATCACCAGGCCAGAATTCCAAGTGAAAATTTTCCTACAAACAGGTCATTTAAAGAGTTTCTCCCCAGTGCGAGTTCTCTTGTGTCTCACCAGATTGGTTTGTATGCTAAATCTTTTACCACATTGGGAGCACTGGTAGAGCGGTTCCTCCTGCATCGGTCGTTATATGAATCATGGGACTGCTGTTCTGGGTAAAGCTTTTGCTGCACTCCAAGCATTTTTATGGCCTTTCATGAGGTGGATTGATCTATGCGTAAATCAGATGGGATCTGCAATCTGTTTTTTTGCCAAAATAGGCAGCCTGTGGCTTTTTTTTTGCCCAACACTGATATTCTGATGAGGAGGTGAAAAATATTTCTGATCCCTTATCTGGTGGTGCTTTGATTTCAAGACACTCTTTCCTTCCTCGAAGTCTTTCATTAATGCCTTTAGCTATCCAAGGGACCTTTTCCTTCCCACTGACGTCCAGCTATTTCCCCCTTTTTCTGAATTTGGTAATTATATCATTTTACCTTTTTATGCAATATGTCCTTGAGTTCCACATATTCTATTTTTTCTACCTGAAAATTCTGTTCTTGTTATTCTCTCCCTTATCTCTATTAGCTGAGGAAACAGAAGAGTTTTAGCACTTTCTGGAAGGAGAGGAAAAGATTTTGTTTGATGGCTTGTTTTGCATTTTAATGCTGCTTCTCATTGTCTGTTGTCCAGAGTGCTCTTCTTGGCATCCTCTTTGTCTATAAGATTCACATTAATGGGTTAGTTTCATTGTCGTTTAAAAAATTGCTGCAGAACCTGTGAAAAGAGCAAAAAAACCATCCATGTATTACTATGAAAAAGCAAACATCAAAATGCTAGTTTAACTTCTAACATTCATTATGATTCATTAGGCACACGGAAGACTAGCAAAATCCAAGTACAAATATCCACTCATATTTCAGATCATGAAATCCTCATTGGCTTTGGTAAATCACAAATTATTATCATTAAAAATTGTTATTAAAATACCTGAAAATACTTAGGTTTACATAGATACATGCATACCTCCACCTATAAATTTATGGATGTAGATCTTTGTTTATTTCAGTCTTCAATTGCTGCAGAACCTGTGAAAACAGCAAAAAAAACATCCATGTATTACTATGAAAAAGCAAACATCAAAATGCTAGTTTAACCTAACATTCATTATGATTCATTAGTCTTCATAGAAGACTAGCAATATCCAGGTACAAATATCCACTCATATTTCAGATCATGAAATTCTCATTGGCTTGAGTAAATCACAAATGATTATCATTGCAAATTGTTATTAAAATACCTGAAAATACTTAGGTTTACCTCCACCTATAAATTTATGGATGTAGATCTTTGTTT